CAGTCTCCACATTCTGGGGATACAGACTATTTCTCATTTGGTCAATCATCTGTAAACCAACATAATATAGTTTGTATTACATGATATATTGCACTACGAGGTAAGTACAGTTTATCTCTACTCAAAGATCATTATTACAAGAATTATTGTGAAAACACAACAAGAACCAGAATGCATAGACAAGATATATCAAACTGAGATACAGAGAAGTCTTGTGTTAAAATGATTTGCATTTTAGAAAAGCAGAGTCTGATTTCAGTATTCTGTCAGGTACACATGTATGCATACATATGGCATATACATTTATAGCCATAAGGCAAACACATTAACATGCTGTTAGTGTGCAGTGTTCTTTGTGCAATAAATTGTAAGGCTTTAATGTCTGACTATACCATTCATTTGCTGTGTAATGTGATTTGTCAAAAGATCTACACTGAACTGTTAATATTAACAAACTAGCACTGTGCATGAGCATTAATTGGGGCCTTCATATCTCAAGTATTTCTTATCCATTAGCCTTCCTGACTGTATTTCAGTATAAGCATGTATATCTAGGGTACATAATTATAACTATAATTTAGCATGACATGTGATCACTATCAGGTACATAATTATTCCATTACAATAAGTAATATTTTAAATTGGTGCATAATCTTTGACTTGAGCAGCAACTCTACCCTGGTAAACAGTAATATACCATGGACTTGTACCGTATTAACTTTATTAGTAGCCATCCACTAAATGTAAAAGTCAAAACAGACTATGTGGGATGGAGGTAGAATTGGTACAGTTCTAATACAACTACATGTGCAAGTATTGGAAGTTAATTTTAGCAAAAAATGTATTACAAAATGAAAATATTGATTTTAAAGATGCAATATGGAAAAAAATGTAATTTTTTGTATAGTTGTTTAACACTGTATATTGATAGAAAGACTCAACTATGAAAATTTAAGTATTGAATGAGAAAACAATGAAATTAAAATTGTCTAATATGCATGTGCACTGCTTGCATAATAACAATCTCCATAAATGTGTATTAGTGGGTTTGATTTTTGATCTAATTAATACTAGTATTGTCATCACGAATCAGTGAGAAATGTGTGTGTCATAGCTTTTATTTTAGGTTTCAATCAGAATTTAGAGACAAAATAAAACAAGCAGCCTCTCGGCTGAGATAGCTCCGCTGTTAGCAATGCACATTTCAATTAAAGAACAGAAGATATTATTAGAAAATGAACAATATGCATAGTATCAATGCAATGGGACTTGCTGTTTTCAACAAGAATTCAAAAATATGATTTTTAACCATAAATGATTGTGGTTTTTAACAAGAAGAAAATATCACTTTTTACCAAAAATGACAAAAATATTCATCAAAATTAGAGAATTGAAGATATCATCATGAAATGAACAAATTTGAGAGTGGTCCATATGTAGTATCTATATATGTAATATCAACTTAAGCAATTGGACTTGTCGTTTTTAACAAGAAGTCGAAAATATCACTTTTTACCAAAAATGACAAAAATATTCACCAAAATTAGAGAATTGAAGATATGATCATGAAATGAACAAATCTGAGAGAGGTCTACCCAAGGTACATATTCACCAAGTATCAAAGCATTCAGGCTTGTAGTTTTCAAGAAGAAGTCGAAAAAGTAAAACATT